ATTTGGGCAATACTTGTATGTAAATATTATGGCATTCGCAGACTATCTTATGAAAGCTGAAATTCCTTCATATATAATAAAGCATTTGATTGTTCCCAACTCAGCATTTTCTTGAGAAAAAAATATGTAGATATAAAAACTAGAGGAAAGTTTGTGACACACTGTAGGATTCATCTGACTAAATTTAAGACATCAATATTTTTTATATTTATGTCCGAACTACTCATTCTGGTTTCCTCTACGGCACCAGAAGAGAAACACCTGCACTGAGGGCATGTGATTTACTACATTCTGGAGCAGATGTCTAAAAGTGCCCTAAAAGTGCCGATTTCTCTCCATTGGCTCTAAAGGGGAGCCAAATGCAAAAACCTGTTTTTCCATATCAGAAGGGGAATGACTATTTTAGATATCTAATGGTAGGAGTGATGGATCCTCTTTGCCAAGTTAAAAGTCAGGACATACATTCTTGTGCTGATACTATAGTCATGTTCCAAAGCATCCATCTCTAATGATCATAATGAATACAAAGTCTAAGTAGAAGAGAACGTGAGAAAGACCTGACATTTCAGCTTTCACTTTTAGTGGATTTGGTCTTTTGTCTGTTTAGATATACTTTTAATTATTTGAATAGACACATTGTTCTAAGGGCTGATCATCTCCTGGAATGTGCAAAATACAAGAAACAATTGCTTTAATGAACTTAGGGAGGTAAAGATATTACTCAAAAGATAAGTTTTCCAAATGCATTGGATTCTTTGAATGATAGCGCATATATTTCTACCAACTGGTTCCTTGAAACACAATATTCTAGTATTTCACTAGTAAGATGGAAATGAAATTTAAAAGAAATAATTTTATTTTATGATGTGAAAAACTTAGGGTTTATATTTTCCAAAGTGTCCTCTAATTCTGCTAGTTCAGTTTTATGGCCAAAGACTATCTTCTGCCATAAAATGAGTAGACAAACAAGAACTATTGTATGTACACCAACATGTTGTATTTTACTAAGTCTCCACTTGCTAACAGTTATGCTTGCAGTATTTTTGTGGCTAGAGGTGCTTGGAGGTTCATAATTACACTTGTGAAATCAGAAGCTGGGTTGAATCTTGGCTGAAAATGTGTCACAGAACATCTTTAGGCATTCTGATAAGACAATAAATTCTCTAACCACTATGTAAGCTATTCCCATTATTATGTTCGTAATAATTACTGACCTTCAATTAAAAAAAAAAAAAGAAGGAAGAATCGTGTTACACAGATCACAACTTCCTAAGTGCATTTCACTTACATGGTAGTTGAAAATTATTGTATAATTGCATGATAAAAATAATAGTAGTATGCTAATTCCAGAGAAAGCACTTGGAAAAATAAAGTGGAAAACAGGGGAGGAACCTAACTCCCTGTACTATGCAGAAGACACAAAAGGAGGCCTCCCATGCATGTCTTGGGATGCCTCTCTTTCTTCAGAGATGTGAAAGGGGAACTTCCCCTGTAGAGCAGAAATCCATGTGCTTTTATGTTGGATTTTGGGTAGGACAGCAGTATTAGCTGGTAGGAGAAGGAGGCTTCCTACCGCTCAAGATCTTTTCCTTTAGAGATTGCCTAGTCACGCTCTATCTGGAAAAAAGTTGAGCAGAATGATCTTGAATGTCCTCCTGCAGGTTTTGCTCCTCCATAGTGTCTGACAAAGCCTTGAAGGTCTTGAATTCTTCTAAAATTATACTGAATTGGACATCAAAAATATAGCAGCCTTCCAATACCTGACGGGGGCCTAACAAGAAAGCTGGGGAAGGACTTTTCATAAGGGTAGTTAATGACAAAACAAGGGGAAATGGGTTTAAGCTGAAAGAGGGTAGGTTTAGATTAGATATTAGGAAGAAGTTCTTCACTGTGAGGGTGGTCAGACACTGGAACAGGTTGCCCAAGGAAGTTGTGGCTGCCCCCTCCCTGGAAGTATTTAAGGCCAGGCTGGATGAGGCTTTGAGCAACCTGGTCTAGTGGAGGGTGTCCCTGCTAATGGCAGGGGGGTTGGAACTGGGTGATCTTTAAGGTCCCTTCCAACCCAAACCATTCTATGATTCTATGATTCTATGATTCTATGATTCCTTTCTTTATATTTGTTGTGGTTTTTCTAGGATGGAGTTTTTTCTTCTTAGTAGCTAGGAAGCACTGTGTTTTGGTTTCGGTGTGGGATTTGTTATGAGAAGAATGTTGATAAGGTACAAGGACACTGCACTTGGGTAGTTTGCAAGTGCAAAGGACTGGGAGGGGGAAAGCGTATTAATTAACAAAACCCAGAATTGGCATTTGGATATGTCAATAAGATATTCCATATCATATTACATCATGTTCAGCATATTAATGAGGGTTGACTGGAAAGCAGAATTCTCTCAGGAATTGAATGGGCTCCCGTTTCTGGGATTGCAGTTTTGGTTTCGGGGTTCCTTTTCACTCCTCTGGGATGACTATCAGCAGGTGGTGAGCAATTGTACTGCGCATCACTCATTCATGTATATACTACAATTATCATTATTATTATCATTACTATTTTAAGTTTATTTTATTGTTAAATAAAACTCAACCTACAAGTCTCCTTACCTTTAACCCTCCAATTCTCTCCTCAATTCCCTGCATGAGGAGGGTGAGGAGGAGCAAGTGGCTATGTGGTGTTTGGCTGCCAGCCAAGTCAAACTACTACGATTATCTTTATGGCAGCAGTAAAAGTTAATCCAGCTGTTCAGTTCTAGCCAATAGCATTTTGGGACTTTACCTCAACCCTTTCTTCTTACACACTGCATATATAAAACCACAATCACATTCTCTATCTGACTAGATCTGCTTAGCTGGATCTGCTTGAGACTCTGATTTTCTTCTATGTACAATTTTTTTCATATTCTTATCTTCAATTAATTGCAGCACATCCTTGTCGTAAGATGAAGCAATGCTGTAAAATCAAGTACTGTTGAGAACCACTAAGACAGAGACAAAAGCCAAAACAGTTCCTTACATTTTTGATCTGCCCTAATGTTTTTTGGGTTCTGTTTTTTGTGTTCTGAGCATAAAAATGATACACGGAATGGTGATTCAGATTCAGTACCTACACCTCATCTTAGAGGTAAGTTTAAACATGATACAAATACAGTTTAAAAATGAACTCTAAAGGAGCAGTAAAATATGCTCATAGTTTTTCAGGCACATATTCTGGTGGCTTCAGGAATTGGAACTTTGTGAGACAAAGTAATTATTGTTACAATTTTTGCAACTTAACTAAGGTCTCCTCTTTTTTAGGTCTCCTAGATGGCCTTTATCACCAGTGGAAAGAAAGACGTATCACTAGAGAGCAATTTAGACCTCAGATGAAGGTATGTCTATCTTCTCAAGGAATTATGAACCCTCCCTAGATATCTCATCCATATGTCTAATCTTAACCAGGTTGGGTTTGAGTCTCTGAATCTGACAAAAAGTATCTGAAAGAGGATATTGTAGATATGTAGAAGAGGATACTACTGGAAGGTGACTTTAGCTATCCTGCTTCTGGGCTGCATTAAATTTGAAAACTCTTTTGCACCACCTCAAGATCTATTAACTAATACATCTGAGCTGAGGGCAGTAACTTCTTTAACAATGCAAACTTGCTTTGAAAGAGACTGTCTGTCTGAGGACTGTGTGGGCAAGCACTTATACTATCTTTCAGAAATAATTTTGAATATTTGTCCCAAGATTATATATATTCACTTTAACAGCAAACAAAAAGAGGATACTATTTTGCCCCAGAATTCATTTTCCAATTATTTTTTTCAGTTAAAATATGTCTTGTAAAAACTTGTGATAGTATGCACACAATATAAATGGCATGGGAAATATTTAACTTTCAAACCTTGTAAAGGCTTTGAAAAGAAACTACTTTCTGATCTGCCTAAATTCTCCAGTTGATACACATATAAAACTCCATTTTAAAATACATAGTATCCCCTATGACCTATGGGCTACACTTTTGTCTAACAATTCAAAATCCAGTGAAGTCTCTGATTTGCTACACAGACGGGTCAAAACATTGTAGAGTAATAACTAATGGCTTCAAGTTTGCACATACAGTAGAATTTTTTTCCATCTGTACTTCTTTCAGAGAATGAGTAAGTACCATATTTTTCTCATTTGTCTTTTTCTTTCCCACCAAATTCTGCATTTCATAACATCTGAAGTGCTGGTGAAATGTATTTCCAGTTCTTAAAGAGGTCCAAGTACGAAATCAAGTCCACCTCACTGGTGGTTTTGCATAATGAAAGGTTCAGTAGGAATGGCACTATTTGACATAGGTAAATACTTTTCAATTTTATAATGTTTAAATTCCTCAGACAGTTTGTAGTAATGAACTGAATCCCTTTTAAAGGCTTTTCAGTTCACTTTTGCAGTCTGACTGGAATCTAGGATACTTAGCATGAAGGCCACCTGTATCTATTGCACACATCTGTTGCACAAATGCCTGCAGAGACATGCAAAAAAACCTAAATCAGTAAATCGTGAGCTATTGGATGGAAGAATCCAAGATTTACACTAGCAAGAGCAGAATCAGACCTATCATATCTGAGACAGATATGATTGTCAGCAATAAAATGGCAAATATTTTCAACTGCATGTGCTTGCAGGTAGGATCAATGATTATCACTTGTATCTTGCAGGAATAGTTTTTCTTCTTATAGCAACACAGTATTTTCCAGTGGACTTTACCTGGTAGGTCACGAAATCCTTGGCAGTTGTGTGGAATGTTAAATCTCCAGAACTATATAGTTTCATACAGACTGGCTCTGAAACTTCAATCTTGTTTTCTAGGTATAAACACTTCTGATAATAAGAGATATATGAACAACAGTGTATGATCCCAAGCAATAATTTATATTGAATTACAACATTAGTTTCACCCCTTAGACACAAACCACAATTTATTGTCTTAACATATAATTAAAACAACTGAGCATGCAATTTGTTTATGCACCACTGACCTCTAAAGAGCTCATTGATATTGTGGATCCAGTTTCACTTCTTGATAATCCTGCATTGTCATCCAACTCTGAGGCAATGAAATTCTTCACTGCTGTGCGGGGCTCAAATGGTAAATTCTGCATATGTTCTTGGGTGGGAAGATGCTGGTCTAAATTGATATTAAATTGGTCCATTACAGAGGGGTTCATATTAAATTCTGGATTAACTTTGTAGTGCAACAGCCTTTCATGAGGCAACGTATCCATGCCTATATTCATTTTGCTCTCATCTTTCAGTGATGGCTGGGTATTTACTGAGCCCCGGGGCATGACTATATAGTCACTTTCTATCATCCGTTCCTGAGGATGGACTATGTCCATATCTGCACCTCTCAGATTATCATCAGTGCATAAATACACAGTCCTCCGCAGCTCACTGTTGTCTTTTTTCAAGCACTGATTGGCCAGTTCACTCATACTCATAGGCATGTGGAGACCGGTTGGTTGCTGGATGATGACTTTGGAGATTATATTTCCAGGCAAGGTAGAATAGCTCATTCCTTCAGGGTTTGGTCCCTTCTCCTCCTCTTCATCATTTAGTGAAATTCTAGAAAGTGTTCCAGTTATAGTAGCTGCTCTGCAAGGTCCAATGTCTTTATGCAGAACTGTGGGTCAGAGAACAGAATTCTTACAAGATAAAACCATATCTGCCTAACACTGCCTAACACTGCTTATTCTTGAGGCTTTATTTAGCAGTGCTTCCTTTATCAGTGCATCTTCTTAACTATTTTTCTATCAATTTAATAACTTTTATTCTACAAACATTGCTTTGGGAAGTTTTGGGGTTTTTTTGTTTTGTTTTGTTTCTTTAATCAACATCTATTAATCTGGTGTGCATAACTGACACAGATCTCTGACTAAGCCACAGTCATTTACATAAATTAAAAACACTCTTTCATTTATCCCTACTGCCTTACACAGCTCTTAGGTGACCTACAGCTTAAGCAAAAGCCTGCCATGTGGAACTCGATTAAGGGCTTTCCAAAAAAATGCACTATGACATCTGTACTGCCATTATTAACTCCAAGTAACCTCCTGGAAAATGTCAAACAGATTGTAAGGCAGAATCATTTTATCAATCCATTGTAATGACCTACTATAGCATTATAACTATGAACATGTGTTCCTGAGCTCCTAAATGTTCCTTTTCACTGACTTTTTTAAAGTCTTCAGTGTTAAATTATTTTTTAAATAAAAGTGCCAAAAAAGTAACCACATTGTGAAGAAATTCCACTGATAACAGAAAGATGTATTTTGCTGCATCTGAAAAGGTTATAAAGAATATAAACTTGTCTCATAAAACAGTCATAATCCACTTCTGGTTTAGGGCTAGGTCTCCCTGGTCAAACTTGTAGCAACATCCAGCAATTTTTTGTTGGGGTAATCTCCACATGTAAAAGTTATTAATTCTGTCATAGCATATAAAATTTCCAGGAGCACTGAAGGATGCATTCAAAAGAAGAAACATCCGTTCAAACACAATTATTAACCTTAAAAAATATATATAAGTCTATAATTCAATATTTGTGATGAATGAAAAAGGATAGATAGTAAGAAAAAAAAAGTGACCAATTACTGGGCTTATTCCAGCTGGATGCAAAGATTTTCTTGTCTCAGTTGAAAATATTTTAATTCACACCAGTGTTAGTTTGTGCAATAAAGTCCAGCTCATGAGCTGAGACAGTAAGACAACCTGAAGCATTTCGGGTGTTACATTTACAGTGCTCATGGTAGCCTGAGGGCTCTGATGACCCAGATCCCATGGTACCTGTCAGTTCACTGTTATGTTGCATAGCAAGCAGCTCCTAAATCAGCCCACTCTCCCACCTCTCATAAAACTGCCTTTCATTTTTTTCATTATGAAAAGAGCAATTTACCTCTAAACCACAGTTTACAAATACCCAACTTCATTGTTTGCAGCTTCATTATTTCCAGTCACACTTGTTGAGACACTTCAACCAGTGACCTATTCTTAAATCTTTCATTAAAAGAAATGGCATTTACATGTTTATCGAGTAAAGCCTGTTCATAACTATATTCAAAGTCCACTTCTTTAAGGATGCCCCTGACAAGGCACTCTATACTGCAGAGCTGTGTTGGCAAAGGGGAGAAGTAGGAGCTACATGGACCAACGCTGGACTTTGGTCTGCATTGGATGGTGACAGACATGCATTTGTGTTGCAATATGCCATCCTGCTCCCTTCAAAACACTTGTGCATATTAAAACTAATCCATACGGAATAATTATTACCATGGTGCAAGAAACTGAACTGGCAGTTTTTTAAGGGTGGGTGACTGGAAACTCAAACATTACCTCAATGAGATCAGCTTTCTTGGCTCTCCGTATAGCCAGCAAAGAGAGACAGGGTGCTCCAGGTAGGAACAGCCGAGTCAGGCTTCTGCCCTGGCTCACCCTGTGGAAGGGACACTCCATCTCTCTTTCTTTCTCTCTTCATTGAAAAGAGAGGGTGTTAGGCAGGATTGTCTCCCCGGGTAAAACTGCCCTTTAGGAATATCTCCTAGATTTAAGAATTTCTGTAGGGTTTAAAAGGTCATTTATTTTAGACGGTGCTTTATTTAAGCAAGATTGGCAAATAAATTGCTTAAAATGTGTTATTTTTAATATGAAGAAACAGACATAGCTGACTCATTAAAGATCACATCACTGAAATTTCGTATAAAAACCAACTTGTTCCAGTAAAGTGGAATCAAATTTAATTTTCCTGATACCATATTGCTTAAGCTACTGTTGATTTCACTTAGAGCCCTAAAAAATTTACCCTCCTTAAAACTAAAACAATTCATACATCCTTCATATACATAGCTTTTAACATGCACTATTTATTTATTTATTTGATTATTTATTTATTTATTTATTTATTTATTTATTTATCTATCTAAATAGCAAAATGACGGTTTCATATTTACTTGTGTACCAGGGCAAAGAAAATTTTGTGTGTAAGACTTATCTTCTTTCCAAAACCATTTGCCTTCTAATAGGCAATCATAACTTTGGCTGCTTCCCAAATTCTGAATCCTAGTAAATATTCTTTTGTAAGAAAATTAAATAAATATATTCATACAGTGGCATCACTTTTTTTGTTTACATTTATAAATATGTGTTGCAAAAAAAATAAACCTTGATATTTTTCTGTTTTTCACTTCAAGAGTAGGTAGTACAAGATTTCCTTTTGTCAGCTAAATGCTCTCAATGTTCTTACCTGACCGACAAGCAATGTCCACGTCCTTTTCAAAATCAGTCTGTAACAAGAAATAATGAAACAAGACAAACATTATTAATTGAAAACTAAACCATAATATGTTTTTGCCAACTAGCGCTTCCAAAATATCCTACTTACAGAGTCATAATCCCTTAAAAGTGGTTTCTTGTTGCTGAGAAGGTGAAGTGTATTGTTTTACAACAGCAGAGCTTTACAAAGTTTCCTAAAGTATAACTGGGTAGTTTTCAAAGTATGCTGCCTGACCAAAAAAAATAAAAATAGGTGGGAGTATATAATTTTAATAAAATGAAACAGTGTACAGGTTTTTTTCCTAATGTATGGAAGAGTAACTTCTACATCTCATGGAAGGATCATCTTTAAGGAAGATTTTCTTCGTAATTTTATAAACAGAAGCATGGAAAATAGCCTGCATTACAAATTACTATGAATAAGTGTAATCCAATTAGTCTACCCTGTCTGAAATGTCATTAATTTGTTATTAAGTGGTTATTTGTAATATAATTTTCTGTCCATCATGCTACTACTGTAAATGTAAAGTTTGTACTTCCTGAAAACAACTGTTTTTTATTTCAATGGGCAAAAATTAATTGTAAAAGCTAAGAATGAATTTTAACAGTTGAAAATCCAAGCACAGTTTTCCCCATTAAGCAAAACTATTTATCCTGTTATAGAATTAAAATAATTTTAAATTATGTTTTTATTTCCACAAAAAGTTTATTACATGAAAAATGTTTAATAAAACTGACCTCCTTCTTGCTTGTGAAGTCCAAACATTGGATTTTTTTTTTGAGTCATCATTTTTTGAAGGGCATCTGCTTGCTAAGCTTTGCATTTTTTAAGGCCTGATCCTGTCCCCATTATAGTAATGACAAACTGTCATTGAAAGTGAAGGGACCAATATTTTGTCTTAACATATTATGTAACAATATTAGTAAATCCAAATCAGCATACTAAGAAGCCATTCACTATCACCTTAATTCAAGCTACTAAATGGATTCCCCCTCTAGAATCTCTAGGTCTTTCTCCTTGTTTGAATTTGAAGAACATTTTTTCAAGGCCTCATGAAGGGAAGACACTCAAATGCATCAGTGCTTTTTACACCAATAGTAGGAAAAGTCATGATATATTATTACGTTACATTCTCATTTACTTATATGGGGTTTTTTTTTGTCATAAAGAACATTAGTGGAAGATATTAATTCACTGTGATCCACTAAATGATCACACCAATAATTTAAAACTTGCTAAGAGATTTAATCAAGCAGATAATGACCTAAACAGACCTACACTTAAAAATCGTGTTAGTATTTCAGCTGTGCATACTTTCCATGTACAGTACTGTACGTTTCTTCTTTGGATAGAAACATTAAATTAACAGTCAAAGAAAAAAATAAAAGCTAACCATGATTTGAGCATGTCCATTAGGAAAAGAACTTGAAGAATCTGCATTAATTGGATCCTGGCAATTTCTCAGTCGACATCTGAATGCATCTTGAACCTGTGAAAACAATATCTTATACTGATTCTTGTGCAACATCACATACCCTACTCCTATTAAAGATTAAATTAAACTGTATGGAATACAATGCTTTATTTTTCTTTAACATACTTAATAAATCAGAAGCAGTAAACATAAATGCTTATTTCTGGCATTTCATACATCTGTTATATTTTGTGGCTGCTGCAAAGTCTGTCAGTCTATCACACCAAGACCACACAATTTGATTTGCCTATGGGCGGAATTAACTAGAAGTCAATGATGATCTGATCTGGTACTCAAGCCAAATCTGTCTTGGGTGATAGTATTTGGCTTTGTCTTCTCATTCAGTTTGGTACAGGTTTGATAGCAGGATTGATAGATATACTATTGACCATTGCAAAATAAAATGTATCTTCTGCTTGATAAATGTAAGATACTTGAAACAGAGTTCTTAACAGTTATTGTAATCAAACACATAGTGCTCTCTTAGTGCATCTCTTCTAGGACTAAAAGGCTTAAGACCAGGGAAATATCTTTGATTTTGAGAAGAATGTATATCTAATGAAATATTATTATGCAACACTTTTGTCAGAAATATGTGGTTCAACAGAGAGACATATTCAAAAGGAAAAAAAAGTTCCTGTTTGCTAACAGTGGAACACAAACACATTTTGCTGCTTTCTCACACGTACCACAATAAGGACAGCAAGGCAACTTTTGGAATGGAAAGTTTTAAACAATTAATTCTGGTTCCAGAAATGAAAGTATTCATATTAGCAACCTGATTTCAAGATGTGACTTGGAAAAGAGGAACACAGTTGGGTGACCTCCAATCTAGTATAATTTCTTGTCTGAATATGAAAATACTCTCAATTAAATGCCTACAAAAATCTACATTCCATTTATTATCTGTGGAAACTACTTGATGTCTTATTCAGAATAATTAAAAGGGAAAAAATCATATTCTACTCATGGACATTCTGTGAAGAGCAGAAGAGGATAATTCATTAATTGTTGCTGATGAAAAGCTGTCCCCTTTCTATACATTGTATTCTACTGCAAGCTGTTTAAGAGCTTCCACAAAAGGGAAGATGAAATGGAAAAAAATTATTTATTTTTGTAATTAGGAAACATTATTTTAAATTGCTTAACCCTAAATGAGTAAGAGTGCTCTGCAGTCTTGATAAATGACTATTGCAGGTGGAGGAAGACTAATATAGGGCAGAAAGAAGAATGAAGCAAGCTGGGAATATGTGGTGGTGGATGGATTTCAAAACACTGAGACTTCCCACATGCGGTAGGATAATGTAAATTGTGCTTGACCTGCATCATCACTCAGATTCAGATTTTGACCTACATTTGCTATGGTTTTCCATGTGTTTGACATGAATTTAATTTGGCATTCCCCAGTTGCAAATTTAATCCACTTCTCTCACTTTATCAATGCTGAAGTCAGGTCACACTTCAGTTTTATGCTCTCGGATAAGCACCAGCACAGTGATTTGACAATAAAATAAAATAAAAAAATCTTTCTCCCCAAAGCAGCCACAGCTGTGTTGAATTGCATATGAAGCCTCATGACACTTGACCCTAAAGCATTACTACTTCAGAACACACAGTGTAATCTTTCACTCTGTGCATTGGCCCTCCTTATTTTTGGGATTCTGTGTCCATGAAGCTTCCCCAGTTCAGATAGCTCCAGGGAACTCAAGAATCTCGTGTCCTACTTTCACTACTTACTATATAAAATTGGTGAATCTTGATGTTAGGATCCTCTTAAGTGTGCATGTTTCTTACAATGTTTTTGAAGTGCAAACAGCATATGATTTGAATATGTTAACAGAATGTCAAATGTAGCTGTATCCGTCATACTGACATATGCTGCAACTTCTAGGTATCCTCACACAAGTCAGAAACAAAAAGGTTGAACTTTCTAAATACCCCTTATTTTTTGAAACTGCTTGTTCAGACTTGTTGTTTCAGTAAGTAAAGATTGTGCTGTCTTTACATTTTACTTAGAAACATATTCTTGTTTCCCTTCCCCTGCTTTTAACATCAAGTTACAAGATTTTCTTAGAGCCAGTCAGAGCAGGAGACAGATGTGAAGAACGTGCGGATACCAGGGAAGTGGTTTCCTTAGCAACAGTAACCAACTCCAAGCTTTTATAACTTATCCTCTCCCTACTCATACACTCTTTATTTTTCTCCTGCAACACAGAAGTGTGGGCTTTAGATGCCAATGATGCATTTAATCCAAATGCTCTCTAGTCAGCAGAGCACAGCAAAAGAAGAAAATACATATGGCTTCTTTCCATCACCAGCATTAACAGGAGTTGCTCAGTGTGATTCAAATTAGCTTTAGAGCATCTCATGTTCAAGCAGGTCAGGCAAACCATTTTGCTCTGATAGAGAAGCTTCAGCACTAACCTCTCCTGTCCTTCTCTCTTCTGTGATGCATACCTCACCATCTTTCAATGCCCAATTAAGTATTTAAACAGCAAGAAGAGGAACAAAAATGCTAGGCTTTGTGGGGTAAGAAGGCAACATAAAGTAATAATATTTAATTTTTAATAATAACCTTTACTTTGCATTTTTCTTTCCTAATTTCCAAATGGTGTATAAGAGGTGCTAAATAATGCTTAAGAGTATTATATTTATCTTAGAAGTTAGGAAATGAAAATGTAAAAAGATTTAATTTATTTCCAAAAGACCCGGAATGGATGGAGGACAGAAATAGGCATGACACAACATTAGTTCTCTTCTGGTTGTATGTTTTACTCAGTGAACATCCCTGGCTTCCTACTGCAGACTTATCACACAAGATCTTTGATTCTAGAGAAAGTAAAAAATGTTTCAATCATTTATGTTTATATCAATAAAACTAAGAGGAAAACCAGGAGATTTATAGACATAATTGTAAAAAAACCTCTGTCTTTTTGTAACATAACAACAATAAAGGCATAGTAAAACAGGGCTGTCCTCCTCTCTGTTTGAATTTTATGGTGATATATTCCACCCCATTTTTTTTTTTCCTGACAGTTAGAATTATTGTTTTGCCTATGCTGGCGTGCTATAAATATTCGATCAATCCTATAGGCTATAACAGAGATAGCTTTGTAGCTGTCATCAAGAGTGACAAATATGTTGGCAGGGTTTCCCTGACAGGCACTGGCAGAGCAAAATGTTTTTGCAGACAACAGAAAGTAAGAGACTATTCTTGAAGCTGGGTAGGTACCCTGTGCAATGCAAACACTGCATTGCACACTGTGCATGATGGCCACTACCTTGGCTTCTACTCACCTAAGGGTCTCTGGAGGTAGAAAGCCAGACTCTCTAGAGCCAGATTGAAACATAAATTACTGGAGTTATTTCTTTTTCTGTGCAGGAAATCGTTGCAGTAAACAATTATGTTTTTACTGCTACAAACTGGTCCGTATTAAGTGCAGACCATACATATTTTTGAAACAAAAAATATTTCAAGTGCATCAACTTTTACTTCTTTGCTATTATTGAAAAACTTTCTATTAATTTTCATTTCCCATATGAAAAAAACCAACCCACAAAACCCTTAATTATTTCCTCAAATTTTTTACCTAGTTGACAATTTAAATCTGGGGGACTAAAGAAGATTCAGTGTATTCTGTCAAATAGACTTCAAACAGCAACATGCTTCTTTGTCTTCCACCATGAGCACTATCATCATCTTGACTGGAGATAATCTACTGACTAGTGAATGTCATCTCTGTACATTTACTTCTGCCTGAGTTGTCATGACTGAAGAAAAAATTCCTTCCCCCTTTTGAAAAAGGACAATCTTTGATAACCCTAGGTGCTTTTTCAGCCTCATTGAGAAATTTTCTCGTGAGGTAATTTTTAAAATACCATGTAGATAGATTGATTAACTGTTTTATCATGCCTTTCTTTTTGAATTTTAGTGTTAGGACCAGGAGGTGTAACTGCAAAGACCAGCTTGTGGGAACAACTCTTTTAAGTAGTTAAGTGAAGTAATGATTCTTTGCAGTTAGATCAGATATGTATATATGATTTGCTAAAAAAGCATCAAATAAAATAAACCATAACTAGATGATTGTCTACATACAAACAATTAAGATTCTAAATTTCTGTATAAACATCTTTATAAGCAGATATTTTAGCATATTTCTTGCACTAGAACCAGTGAGTTAAAAGGGCTTCAGGTCAAGGTACCTTACAAATTTGAAAACTGAGTTTACTTAGAGAAAATCCCAGTCATAGGATTGAGTGCACCCTCAGCAAGTTTGCTGATGACACCAAGCTATGTGGTGTGGTTGACACGCTGGAGGGACGGGATGCCATCCAGAGGGACCTTGACAGGCTTGAGAGGTGGGCCTGTGCTAACCTCATGAAGTTCAACAAGGCCAAATGCAAGGTCCTGCACCTGGGTCGGGGCAATCCTAAGCACAAATACAGGATGGGCAATGAGTGGCTTGAGGCCAACTCTGAAGAGAAGGAATTGGGAGTGGTGGTAGATGAGATGCTCAGCATGGGCTGGCAATGTGCACTTGCAGCCCAGAAGGCCAACCGTATCCTGGGCTGCATCAAGAGAAGTGTGGCCAGCAGGTCTATGGAGGTGATTCTTCCCCTCTACTCCACTCTCGTAAGGCCCCACTGGGAGCACTGTGTGCAGTCCTGGAGCCCTCAACACAAGAAAGACATAGACTTGTTAGAATGAGTCCAGAGAGGGCCACGAGGATGGTCAGAGGGCTGGAGCGCCTCTTCTGAGGACAGGCTGAAAGAGTTGGGGCTGTTCAGCCTGGAAAAGAGAAGGGATCTTATAGCGGCCTTCCAATACCTGAAGGGGGCCTACAAGAAAGCTGGGGAAGGACTTTTCATAAGGTCAGTTAATGACAAAACAAGGGGAAATGGGTTTAAACTGAAAGAGGGCAGGTTTAGATTAGGTATTAGGAAGAAGTTCTTCACTGTGAGGGTGGTGAGACACTGGAACAGGTTGCCCAAGGAAGTTGTGGCTGCCCCCTCCCTGGAAGTGTTTAAGGCCAGGCTGGATGAGGCTTTGAGCAACCTGGTCTAGTGGAAGGTGTCCCTGCTGATGGCAGGGGGGTTGGAACTAGATGATCTTTAAGGTCCCTTCCAACCCAAACCATTCTATGATTCTATAAAACACTAATCCTAACTGTTTAAAACACAGTCCTACCTGTGAGTAGAGTCAGACAAGAACATTTCCATGAGAGGTTCAGCAATACCAAAGTGTTCTTGGGAATGAAGTATTTGCAGCAAATTGCTGTCATTAGAGTACGGAATCTGTCTTGAATTCAAGAATTGGGACATTGTGGGAAGATGCCCATTCAATTTTATCTTAAGCAGTCTAAATATTTTTTTCAAAATAAACTCCTGCATTACTGCACTGAAGCAGGCTTTGATTTTATACAGTCCTATGCTATGTTACTTCTAGAATTTCTCATGGATTTTGGTCTGTTTTTTTTATGAAATCAATGACTGATAACCAGATATGTGTTGCAACCTCTCTACATTTTCCGAGGAAATGGAATGAAGCTGCATCAGGGGAAGTTCAGACTGGAAAAGGTTCTTCACTGAAATGGTGGCAGGTCACTGGAACAGGCTCCCCAGGGAAGTAGTCATGGCACTAA